TTGAATGGTTGCCACAAATGCCTTCATGGATCTCTCGAAGGACATAGTTACCTTATTCTAGAGTTAGGTACTGAAGGTAAGGTTGGCTGAAACCGCGTTTATATAGAGTGCCATTAATGATCAGGTATCGAGCGGAGCAATAGCGAACACATCGGGCTTCAACAGGATCGGCAGACAGTGTCTGGTTTTGTCAAAACTGAAGGATGGGGTCCATCCATGTGGGGCTGTGGTCAATGGTATAGATGGTTGATGTTTGAGTGCTGCGTTGGTCTAGGAACTCCATGTAGATGTTGCGATCGATGCCCTGCTCTATGGCAGAAGCTAGTCTTGCCAAAGCATCGACATGGCTATTTTCAGATCGTGGGATCTGGCTGATGCGATAAGCTTCAAAAGTTGTCAAAAGTTGATGGGTATGCTAGAGGTATGTCCTTATGGAGGTGTTCTTGGCACTGAAGTCCTAGTTGACTTGATGAACAACGAGCTGTGAGTCACTGAATATTTGGATTTGTTTAGCGCCCATCTCTTTGGCAAGTCAAAGGCCAGCTAAGAGTGCTTTGTACTTAGCGACATTGTTGGAGGCGTGGAATTTGAAGTGGAGGTCATACTCGAGGATGACTTTATCTAGGGAGATAAGGACGAGGCCCGCCCCACAACCTTGGGCATTGGAGGAGCCATCGACGTACAGTGTCCATAAGGGCTAGCTGAGGTCGAAGTTGTCGTTGCTAGAAATGTGAACCAAGGTTGAGGTAGTAGTAGGTTCCAATAAGATCTAAGGAGCGGTCGGGGCTTGGGGTTCTGTAAATTTAGAGATGAAGTCGGCAACAGCTTGTCCACTTAACCAGTCTATCATAAGTCTCTGGCTACTGCAACACATGCCTTAGTGGTTGGTTGGTTAGGGCATGAATGGTATGTGCCTGGAAGTAGGGTCGGAGGCATCTGGCGGACACCACCAGGGTTAGGACCTTCAGAGTTGGAAGAACCTGCAGAAGACAAGGAGGAAGAAGCAATCGTCAAGCTTCGAACACCAGTGTGGTGCCTGCCGAAGGCTCTTCAATGATGTTAGGCAAAGTAACAGTTGTTCACTTGTTTGATATTTGGTCCGATGATGGTATGGTAAAGTTCCTCGTTGTCTCGAAAACCATGGACTGGTGAATAAGTCAACTTTCTTTTGTGTGCGAGCGTGCCACTGCTAGCAATAAAAATCCTAGCAGACTTCTTAAAAATAGACTTGCACCCCAAGTTACTGATTTCTAAACAAGCGATTGTGAATTTGGGTGAGGAATATCTCCCGAGTAAGTTCTTTTCTTGCCTCAAACTGGTGAGGACTTCACAAGTTTTCACAATATAAAACTGGTAGTTATGGCAATAATAAATGATAAGAAAGTGAACTGTTTTTTTAGGCAGAACTGCCTTTTACAAAGCTCAAAAATGGAAAACCAATTCTTAAAAAGACAAAAAAGGGGCTGGACTTCCATTTCTGCATGGATAGATGCTTCTGATATGGGCTGGACTCGGTATGCCTGTGCTGGACTGGACTATCAACAACTTCAACTGTCAAGTTTCAGCTGTAAATCGACACCATCGTTCGGGTTTGGCAGAGCTTTAATCTATTTCAAGCCCCGGAAGGCTTTTTGAACTGGCAGAATTGGAACCGCTTCAGTCTGGAAAGGGCAAAAGTGGTTGGACTTGAGGATTACTGAGCTGGAACTGCACTGTGGTACCTGTTCTGCTTGATCAGGGCTCTCCATAAATTTGTTGAGGTTTTCATATTTGTAAAACCCGAACTCTGCTTAATTTAGCTTATGCTGAACCAAATTTGTAACGAGAGAAGTTTCGTTTTGAATGACTTATTTCTCTGAGTCTGAACTGAAGTTAGAGATTCTGATTTGTAGCTGGTTTCTTTCTTGTGGCTCAATGAACTGTTGGTTGCATCAGTGTTTTTGAAGGTTTTTGAGATCAAGTGATCATTTTGAGTTTTTTATTTTGATTGATTTTTTGGCTGTCCTTTGATCTGTTCACCTCCTCTCATATTTATAGAAAATACTAGAGTGGTTTTTTTAATCTTTAAAATGGGCGGCAGGTTTTCTAAAAAAACAAGATCTTTATTTTTTAAGTATCAAAGGAAAGGGAAGTTATCTATTCTGGCAAGTAAACCATCAATAGTCAATTCTAAAGCAGTCACTTCCTTGTTTTTCATTGAAAGAAAACCTAATCCTTCTTTAATTTTTAACTGCTCTTGTGAATTCAATATGCCATGATGGTTAGTTTGATTTTCCATATGAACAACTCCCTGCACCCTAGTTATCTTTTTTAGAAAATATAGCCTGCTTATCTCTTGGAAATGGCACTAGCCCTGGAGCAAAAAAATTCTGAATATAGAAAAAGGGATTTTGATCTTCTTATGTCTGAAAAAAGGTTGGAGACTTTTGCCTGTTTAAGACCTGCTTTCATTAATTCCCCATCAACTCAGTTGAAATTGCTGACTTTTCGAAGCTAGTTAATCACGTGGGTTGCCTCTATTTTGGGTTTTTCTCTTTTTCATTTGATTGTGCCAGGCCCATGTTGAGTTTTGGAACTTGTGGGCTAATTTATTTTCTTTGTTTTTCGAAGCCCAAGTTTATTTTCGTGGGTTGATAGGTCCTGGGCTGGGCGTGCAGGTTTTTGGCCCAATCATAAGGAGAGCGTTGGTGGCTGTCCAAAATTGACATGGGCTTTTTGATATTGGACTGGGTGTGCCAAATTAGACCCAAACAACAGTAAATGTGAGAAAATAGTTACCTTTTTTACTTGGGCACTGTTCCCTACTTATAAGGAAGTGAAAATGAGAGTTTTGTACAAAGTTTCAATATGGGACTTTGCACAAGTTGTTGTGGTGATGACACGTGTCTCTGGAGATTAGGTTTGGCAGGTGGCTACCACTTCGAAAGAGGGTCTTCTTTCGACATGTCGGAAGGTGATGACGTCAGTCACTTTCGATGGATTTGTCTGTGTGTCCCTTTGGGGTATTTCGGCAAGGGAGAAGGCGTGTCTGCCTTAGTGCCAGTCGTTTTGATGCTGGATATTCTCGGTTGATTATGGTGTAAATAGTTTCTATCATATTCTTTATAGAAAATACCTTTTGTTTACAATACATTTGATGCTATATAATGAGGTGGTGAATATTTATGGTGTTATTTGGTGGAGCAGAATACTAATAAGGTGGATGGTGATGTTGATTTGCCACAAGTGTGCTTTCTGTAGAATCGAGAGGAGTGTATGGCTTGCAGAAGTTAAGTCCCCCCTATCGCCATGTCACTTCTTATTCTTCAATGTCTACATCATGTCCTTCTTGACGAGAAGAGAGACGGATGGAATTATGTACTTAGTTCATTTTTAAAGCCAAGTTACTTTCGTTAAACTTTTCATGATGTACTAGAACCATTTGAGTAATAGAAATATAATTTAAACTATATATTAACCTGTCTTCAATTTTGCATCATATTAATTGATGTTATATATATATATATATATATATAGAGAGAGAGAGAGAGAGAGAGAGAGAGAGAGAGAGAGAGAGCTTCCATTGAGGGATACCCTTGTAAGGCGCACTCTACATTGTATTTCACTAATTCAAACTGTCTATTTTTTAGATAATCATTCAAAGATCATCTCTACAAAAAATTCACTTGAATCCGATATCATTTGACCACTCAATTGAGATATTGAAATTTTAGTACTTTCTTGAAGTACTGTGTTCATTAATTTTGTAGGATACAATTGGATGTCGAAACGGTTTCTGATTGTTTAATTTTTTGCAAGGATGATCTATGAATGTAGACTTAAAAAATAGATGGTTTGGATTGTTGAAAAAAAAATCGTAGCGAACCCTAAAGGGTGTCCCTCAATAGAAGAGAATTGTATCCTACAAACCCTAATCCTACAAATAAGTGTGTTGAAGATAAAACCTTGATGCCTTAGTGCTTTTATTATTGAATTTTAATATGAATTTAATCTTGTTTAATTCTTACTTTTATTACGGTTACTATTTAGAATTTTGTGCACATTTACAGCTCTATGTGGACACGATACTCGACTTTTGAATTATACTATTGCGCGACACCTACATATGGTTTTTTTTTTTTTTTTTTTTTTTGGTCAAGGCACCTGCATATGGGTTTAGCAAGCAATAGTAGTTTTCTTTTTCTTTTTCTTTTCCAATATCTAATTAATATGTTGAAAACACATATAACACATTCTCAAGAGTTTTTCGGCAAATCAAATCTTAGCCGCCTGGCTTGCTAGTAGTGTTAGTTGTGAGTGCCTAACTAGTGCCTTAGAAGACACATCACGTGAGTACTATGATACAAAATCTCCCTTTTGGTACACTTGATTTGATTTGAAAGCACCTAGTGGTTTCACCCTCAGCTTCCAATATGTGCTCCATTAATATTTGTTCCAATCCTTGTTTATATTTTGCCTTTTGTTTTTGTCCCTGTTTCAACGTAGGGCGCGTTTGAATATGTCTCATAGCAATTAGTTTACTCCATTTTTTTGGCATGGACTTTGAAGTTATTGTCCAATTTATTGGTTCTCGGATTTTGGAGATTATATTGATTTAGTTGTGCCGCCTTGACCATGCTATAGGCTATAGGATTTTAATATGGCACTGGCAATGCCATTGTATTGTGTATTGTACACTAGCATATTATCGGTTCAAATTAAAATAATTGATTTTAAAATTTGGAAGTAAATAAATAAAAGAAAGGGAAAAATAAATTGGTTAGTTGTCCCAGCTGATTGGGGGAATTTCCCTTCAAGACTTCAAATCATGCTGGGTCTTGAGTGATTTTCCTCATCAGATATCCTATGAAGGCAGCCACTTTGGTGAAAGCTTCTTGCGATGTTGAGTCAGCACAAAGGTTTTGTACATGAAATAATTGAGTTTTTAAGTTCCAAATTCTCTGATTTTCAAAAGTGTGCTCTCAAATTCCACACAACTTTTGCACAATTATTAGGCGGAGAAGAAAAAAAACAAATTGAACAAATCAGAATTGGAGACACTAAACAATTTCACAACTAGAAGTAATTACACTTTGTATTGGGATTACCAGTGGGCTCAACCCCAGGAAATTAACTACATATTATACAATCAACAAAAGAATTATAAAAACTTAGCTAGCTAATTCCCCTATAATTGCGTACCAAACCTTCAGGTTCAAGGGGCACAATGCTTACAATGGTTTCTTGCACTGGTGGGACTGAGGAGCTAGCTGGGGTGAAACCCACAATTTTTTGACATGTCTCGATCAAGTTGTGCCTGCATTTAGGGCAAGAGGAGTGTGAGCTCAGCCACTTATCAATGCAGCGGACATGGAAGCCATGGTTGCACTTGGGAAGAAGCCGAACACGCTCACCGGCTGTAAAATCCGAAAGACAGATCACACACTCTGTGTCCAGCCCAGGCAGATTTAGGTCAGCTGAGTAACTCACTGTTGGGAAAGTTTTTAGGGCTTTTTTCTTCACTCCTGTGTTGGCTAACCTAGCGGAGGCGTTGCTGCTGCTGCTGCTTCTGGACTCTACAAAGCTTGAGCATCTCAAAGCACACTTGATGATGGAGTTTAGGCCAAGTGAGCAAATTAGGGCACACAAGAGGACTGAGAGGACCATAACAACATTTGCATCAAAGCTGTTGTCACCAGGGTATTGATCTGTTGGGTCATGTGGGTTTGTGGAGGAGATTGGGGAGGAGGCTGTGTTTGGTGGTTGGTAAAGTGGGTTGTGCAGGAGAAGTCTTCTAGAGTTGAAGTTCACAAAGAAAGTAGAAGCAGACATGTTTTGTTATGACAATGTTTTGAGTGAATTTGGATGCAAAGGATTGTGTATATATAATTAAAAGGTAAAGGCTTAAAGGGGCTAAATTTGCTTTTCTAGGGTTTTTTCTTTTTTCAATTGTATAATTGATCACTGTATCTTTCTTTGAGAATATTCCAAGGCTTATTGGCCGCATTAGGATTTATATTTAATTTGGAGATAATAGATTTCAACCTTATGGATCCTCCACTCAGCCGCTTGTAGTTTAATGGGGCTTTCTAATCAAGATGGGCCCCATCCCACTTTCTGCGCATTTGAGAATGCCACGTGGCACTTGGCTTTCATGAATCATATCTTTCAAATTATTTTTGGGACCCACTAGACCATGGAAGGAAAGGGGTCATGAAACTTCCTACTAAACTAAACTGAACTAATTAATTAATCAACAATTCAGCTATATACTAGGAGAGGTTACCAGTTGTGAACTCATCCTAGTTCAAATTCTTATCAGGCTAATCCTAAATTAGAAGAAAGTTATTGCAAATCAACTTCATTAAAGCTCATTAATGTTGAGAACAATAAGGTTGACCATGAGTCAAATATATCTTAATTGATGCAGCTAGATAGCCAAAACTTTTTAGAGAGAGAGAGCTTTTGAGAGAGAGAGATTCATATTTGGGGGGTTTTTCTCTGGATTCCCAGTGTTCTCTAACTTTTGGCAAATATATACTTATACGGTCTTCTTTTAGCATATCTATTATCTCTGCCACGAATCTGGGTTTGCTTTGGATACGTGCCTCATCTTACAAAGCTACTCTTTGAGGTGTTGTTGCTTGGTCATGATAGATTTACTGTTAATTGGCGCGTTGAGGCTGTGGAGTGACTAAGTGGTGATCTCTATATCATGCCTCGGAGGAAGATTAGCAGTGTTTATTCTTCCTTTTGTCGTTGTTGTTTAAGATTTGTAGTATTGGTACTTTTTGGTCAATAAAATCCACAAACTCTATGAGTTTATAGTTTTTTTTGCTCTCATAATTCCAGAAGCTTAATTGAGTTTACTGGATGTTCTTTGTTTCTTTAGGAGACTCATGCCGGTTAGTGGCCAATTTTTTCAATGTCATTAGACTAGATTCGAGGAAACTATGGCGATAGAAAGGGGTTATAGAAAAGTTATTTTCGTGAGTAATTCTCTCGATATCATTTCATCTTTTTTGCTAGCTTAGGTCATCACTTCATCTTTTCGAGAGTAATTCTTGTTGGAATTTTAAAAGGTTTTTAAAATTTTAACCATTTTGATTTATTTAATTATTTCGACTATTTTATTTTATTTATTGTGGGGTTATAAATATTTAATTTTCATGTTTTATTTTTATATTGAATACCTTAATTTTCTAGTTTAATGTGGTGAAGGTTACATGTTATTGAATGCTTATAAAAGGCCACTCCTCCTTCACATTTGATACAACCACAATACACCATTAGAATATCACATACCACAATCACCACCACAATTTGATTCTCTCCTCTTCTACTTTTTATACTTTCTCTACTTATATTATTTTTTTGGGCAATGGTTCTGTGACTTGGATACCTATATCCGTCTATGAACGTGCTCATAGCGAATCTTGAGTTTGTGTACATGGGGTCGTATCTTGGAGTCTTGTAAACTATCTCTACATGCACGTAGGGAAGCTACAAAGGCTTTAGATTGTTATAAAAATTATAGTTTTCCTCTTTCTGTAAAGCCAAATACAAAAATATTTATATTATAAATAACATATAAACAAATTGGAAAGCTTTTAAGGTACAATGAAACTGAAGAAAAACAAATTGGTAGGTAAGTAAAAGCAAAATAAATTATAAGTAAGAAAGTGAGTTTGGTATGGTGAAGCATGTCAAAGACACTGTCCTAAAGCCAACAATTCTCTTGAGATCATTTCATCTTTTTGGCTAGCTCAAGTCACTGAGAGGTTCAGCCCTGAAGCAGGACCAAAAGGGCTATTGGCCTGGGCCCCATGTCAAGGAGGGCCCCAAAATATTTATTTATTTATTATTCTTTTAAAAGCTGCTTCTAAAATGGTTTCTTAATATGAGGTACAGTGGTATATTAGTATATATAAAGGTCTAGAGTATATATAAAAAGATATAAGAAGCTAACATCAAGATTTCTGAAGTTCCATCTTGCATTAATGATTTCTCTTTTATTTTATTCAAACCAAATCTATGTTCAAGTCCTACTAGCATTAAGAAATAATACTTTTTTATTTTTATTTTATGATGATTGATGAGTTGATGCTCTGATTATAAATGTATTGAATGGACTATCTTTGGAAAGAAAAAAAAACACGGAAATTTCAATGAAAATATTGGGATATTATCAATATCGATAAAAATTGAATAAAAACCACGGAAATTGTAAGAAAAACTTGGAAATTTTTATTGAAACTTTGGAAGATATTTATTTAGTCAATTATCTATTAGTTTATCACAAAAAATTGGAAGGAAATGCATTGCATGATGGGTTTAACTGATTTAAGTTGATTATATAGCGAGCTGACAAACATTGTGAGTGTAGAAAATATATAGTAATTAAGGAAAGAAGATTAAACACACATAATCATTTATATATAATGATTTACTACAATATTTTACACTTTATACATTGCATGGTAAGATACATAAGTGACTTAGTATCACATAGTGTTCTTATGAGGTTCAAATTTTTCACTATCTTCATCATCTCTATGTGTAGAGTAAATGTATTATAAAGAATAGTCATCAAATGATAAATCTCCAAAATAATTTTGCATGTAATTGTTAACACGACACCCATATGGATATGAGATTGGTTGATGTTGTCTATAAGGAAAATCATTTGAAGATTGGGTCTCGGATTTTTTCCATGAGCCGCTCGATTCTATCCCAAAAGGAAATGTCAAAGACTCACATTTTCATGTGAAAATCTAATTCTTGCAAGGAAACAAAATAATATAAATATACATATTTTAGCATATTATCATAAAAACATAAGTAACATGGTGGTTAAGGCGTTGGATGAGTGAAATGCTAGGAGTTTGAATCTCCTTTACGTGTGTGCTTTGTGTTTTTTTTCTTCCTTTTTCCCATTACATCGATATTTTCGATATTATAGTGATATTTTGACAAAATATTGCTAAAGTGTGAGCGAAATTATCAACATCGATATTTTCCGATATTATCGATATTTATACAATATGTGTATGGATACATTCCGAAATATCCGTGACTCCAAAAAAAGATAATATCCTCGATATTTCGTCGATATTATCGATATTTTAGACTATATTTCGTCGATATTGTCAATATTTTAGACTATGGAGCTTGGAATGAGTAATTTGTGGTTGATATAATTAATATATATTGTTCTACCCCTCTTTCTTCCTTTGGTGCATTCTACTACTTAAAAAGTCATATTTTTCTTCCAATCTCTTTAAACATTTTTTTTCTTGTGTTCAATCATTGCTTTATATATAATTTTTTTAAACATTTCCATAAGTAAAATGATATTTTTTTTAAGGCCTAATTTTTGTTACTAGTTGTAAAAGCTCTACACTCTATATACATATGTATAAATGAAAACAAGTAAACAAATATTTTTACTTGTAAGTAGTCTTGCATTTATAGGGCCTTCTTTTTTATTTTGTCATGGGCCACCAAAATTTCATGGTCGTGGCCATTGGGGAAGTTTTTACCTATGTCTGTCATATTGCTATTGGGATGGTTCTCTTTACACCCTTTTATAACAAATAAAAAAAATTACATCCTACTCATAAACGTCTCAATAACTCCCACTGTGTGCCCCGTAGGCCCTGCCACATTCGCCTCCTCTACTCTCAATGCACCCTACCTCTCTTTAGGAACTATCAAATCATTCCCAAAAGGGGATGAAAATAACTCCACCATACCTCCACTACAAACGGCTGCGCGCACTCCACTTGATGAATCCTCCATAAGACTCTGATTCGCCGCTTGGACCGCTAGGCAACCTACTGCCTCTAACCCCCTTTGCTTCCTAGGCAAATGAGTAAGCAAACCATGTTTGTTCTGCCATATAGACATTTTCCTCCTCCATAGACATACTCTTTCCAATGAGGTAATGCTGCTTACTTCAAAATGGATAGGTAGATTGGATCCCACATGTTTTTTGTGTTAAAAATTGTTCTTTTTTTTTTTGGTTAATAAAAGATAAAAGGTAAAAGATGAAAGTAAACAATATAATAATAGTTGGTATTGCATTGCCTAGTCCATTGAAGAGCCCAATTTTTTTCATCAAAAAGACAAATGAGTAGGCAACATACTATGTAAATTCGTATAGTACATATTTGCCTATTTCTTCCGCGTACTCTCTTGGAGATGCTCAAGCAGGTATGTACATGTGTTTTCTTGGTTTTCTTTTTGCCTCAGCCTGATGAGTGTGAGAGTCCTAATTAACATTTAGATCGTTGTACTTTAGATGAATATGTTCAAAATCTAAATGATTCCGTACTGATCTTATAGCATGAATACTTTTACTTTCTTAATTGGAAAAATCACGGAAATATATAAATAGTCAATGGCAACTTTATTAGCACCTTACTTTGATTAGTATTATTTCTATCATTTTGTCTTGCTGAGTCACTCATCATCAACAAACTCCATGAAATGAAATGTTGAGTTTCTCTTTTTTGTTCGGGTAGTTTGACTCATTTGCAACTTTGCTCTCTGATCATTTCGATTTTAGCATTTTTATTCCTGTACTTTAATTTGACTTGGAATCAAGTTTAAATTGTAAACTCCATCATCTTAAAATTCGACGTGGCCATGTACAACTATAAGAAGTAACACTATTTTAATTTCTTCGATTGTTAAAATTGAAACTGCAAAGATTAAAATGGAAAATGAGTCAAATTAGAAGGAGTAAAAAGTATAATTTGGAGTCAATGGGTTCCTATCACATTGGTGGTGACTTCCCCCTTCCCCATGACACCCCAGTTCGAACCCTACGAATATAACAAAAAGAAA